CTTTCCTAGGTACTGAGGATGACAGAGAAGCTAAGTAGCCTTATGGAACGATTTCCCTCTACCTTGAAATTCAGATGTTAAGAATCACTGTATGCTGGAAGCTTCATTATTGGTATCAGTCACCTTTCTAGAAAATTCAAGAATAAGATGGTGAACTTCAAAAACTTCTGGACTCTATTTCTCATGATTCAGTCAGGTATTCTTCATCTAATTTGAAATTAATAAGAGACAGGGATAATACAAGTCATGATATTATTTGGAGATCTAACAGTAATTTCAAAAGTCTCTGGGATTTAGTAGAGATAATATTTTAAAACAGTGATTTTCTTAGAGTTCCTCATGTCATTAATGAAACACTTTTATTCTGATATATTATTTTTTATATCAAGGAAAACTTTATGTACAAACCTTTAGTGTATAAATTATGAACACATTTGTGTAACTAACACTCAAGATATAAAACATTTCCATCAACTCCAGAAAGTTCCCTTACCCTCTTCTAGTGAATCCCACTCTGTATAGGCACCCATTGTTCACATTTCAGTTATCATGCATTTTTTGCCAGTTTTTGAACTTCATATAAATGAATCATATATTTACATGAAATATGCATTTGAGATTTATTATTGTATTTTAGTCCATTTTTTTATTGTTGCATGATATTCCATTATATAATTATACCATGATTTATTTACCTATTTATTCTTTGATGCACATTTGGACTATTTCTAGTATGGGGCTATTATAAGTACAACTGTATCTTATAGGATAGGAGTAGTATGACTACTCCTATATAAGATATTTGGTGGGTATAAGGACTAATTTATATGGGTTATACACCTATGGATAAACATGCTGGGTCATAGGGGATATTAAGTTTAACTGTAGTAGATGCTATTATTTGCCTTTGGTTCGATTTCATTGATTTCTGCTTTTATGTTTATTACCTCCTTCTATCAACCTATTTTTGGTTTATTTTTTAGACATTTCCTAGCTTATTTAGGTGAAAACATAGATAATTAATTTATACCTTTGTTCTCTTCTAATATAAGCATTTACAGCTATAAATTTTCCTGTAAGCATGGCTTTAGCTGCATCTCACAAATTTTCTTATGTTATGTTTTCATGATCATTCATTTGAAAATATTTCAAAATTTCTTCTTAACCCGAGCAAAGTTACTTTATCTCTTCATATTTCTGGGTTTTTTTTTTCATTTCTTTTATGAAATGAAAGGTTATGCTTAGAGATCTCTAAAGTCTCTTGAGATTTAAATTTTTCTGGTTAGCGATTGGTTGAGTATATAAAATTATAATTTTTAAGTGACCATAGCATGCAGTTGGCCTTTGGAATTAAATGGATTTTAACACTTGGTCTTTTTTTAAGCACAAAATATATTAAAGTATTTTTTTCAAAATTATTTTTAGCATGAAAATATTTGAATTTGGAAGATGCTACTCAGTAACATTCTCTAGAACTATGCAATGCTATTTCAAAGTGAAACCATATATCATATCCATTGACAATGGGAGATAGAAACCAGAGTCATTCAATTACAGTAATATATTTGATCTTTATGTCTTCAGAATAGGTCTAAAATCAATGGTAAATCATTAAAAATAAAGAACAATACTGAGATAGCAAATAATCTGTAAATACAGAATGGAGTGATACGGGACTCTTTGTTATACTAATTATGTGACTCATGGCAGATCTGGATAGCTTCAGGATGGATGCTGCTCACCAGAAAGACCAACCACATCTTTAGAGGGTTGGAACTTTGGGCCACCTTGACCTCCTGGGAGGGAAAGTAGGGGCTGAAGGTTGATATCAATTACATGGCCAATGATTTAATCTGTCATGACTATGTAACAAAATCCTCATAAAAACTCTAGACATCAAAGCTCCGTGTTACTTCTTGGTTGGCGAACACCTTGAAGTGCCAGGAAGGAGAAACACCCTGACTCCATGAGGAAAGAGCATGGAATCTCTATGTCTGGGACTTTTCCAGACCTTCCCTATGCACTTCTTTATTTGGCTGCTTCTGAGTTATAGTCTTTGGTTTTTTTTTAAAAAAACTGTAATTTAAGTATAGCACTTTCTTGACTTTTGTCATTCTGGAAATTATCAAACCCGAAGGAAATTGTGGGGACTCCTAAATTTGTAACCAGTGATTAAAGTGCTAGAGTCCTGGGGCCCCACTTGTGGCTAGCATCTGAAGTAGAACTAGTCTTATGGAAGACCAAGCCCTTAACTTGTGGGATCTGATGCTAACTCCAGATAGTTAGAATCACAATTATATTGTAGCATCCCAGGTGGGAGTGGAAACAGAACGGAAACACAATAGAGGGAAAAATGTATATTGGTGGCAGTGACCACTGGCCACTCCCTGTATCCATATCCAGGCTTGCTTTTTCACATAACAATAGATTTTTTTTAAACTTAGGCATGTATCCACATGGCAAAACTGTATTTCTCAGCCTCCCTTGCAGCTATGCACACAAGACTAAATTCTAACCAAGATGCATGCAGAGAAGTATTACATATCCCCCCTTACCCCTTTTTAAGATGAAAGCTATTTTCTATCTCTGTTCTAGCATTTGCCTCTTAATAGCAGATAACAACTCTAAATTCTTTCCTTTCCTTTCCTTTCCTTTCCTTTCCTTTCCTTTCCTTTCCTTTCCTTTCCTTTCCTTTCCTTTCCTTTCTCCCTCCTTCTTTCCTTCCTTCCTTTCTTCCTTCTTTCTTTCTTTCCTAAGAGTGGCATCTGAGATTTAAGACTTGACTCTTTAACACATCTATTATACTACATAGGATTTTTAAAATACATTTATCTAAAAGATTAATAAATTTTGCCTAAAGTCCCAAGAATGTGTTGTGGCCAGTTGATAATAAGTCACCTTTTCTATATGTCAATAGGCATAGTCACTATTTACAAAAACATTTGCACAGGAGTGTGAAAGAGGCACCTGTCGGAAGAACTCCTCCATCAGGGCCATGGTCCACCGGTGGTGCAGCTGCCAGCATTTGGCTGGGTGGCTGATGTCTGCTGCATGGAGAATCAGGGACATGGTTTTGGCTCTGTTGATCCTGTCAAACCAAAGACATACTCAAATGATCAGAATAAAGTAACCAGTTACAGTCTTTTCTGAGTTCAAGCCCATGAAACTTCAACAATACAAAAGAAAATAACCTACCCTTCAGGCTGCTGCAAACTGTTTCTTATATTTTTAATTTGCTGGAAGTGACCTGACATGTCTGTAGACAAAACCATTTCAATCACTAGGTTCCGAAGATCCCTGTACAATCATCAAAAGGAAAAAGGTTCATTTGGCCCTTTATTTTTCTCAAGTGAAATATTTTCTTAAACATCACTACTTTTATTTTTAATGGATACGAACACAAAAGGAGCGACTTTTTAAATGTAAAAAGTACTTACAAAAGTTTGCATTACTTTCTCTTTTAACTCTTAAAGATTTAGGAAGTTGCCAGGAGAATGATCTGTGAATGATGCTCTTTCCTTATAACATCTTTCCTTAAAGAACTGGATGCTTTCTCCTCCCACATCTACAACCCTCCTCTACTCATAATTCCTAAATATTGTTTTTTTTATCTGAAGTGATCCTAAATAATTTTAAAGAAAAAATATTCTAAATGCAATATGTACTATTAATAAAACCACCACTATTTATTCAGTGTTTATTCAGTCTAGGCAATGTTCTGAGTGCTTTGTATGTATATTAAGACATTTAATCTTTGTAACAACTCTGTGCGGGGAACATTACTATTTCGCATCAGTGACTGAGTTCTCTGCTCAGTTACATAGCAGACATAAGATTTAACCCTGAGTTCCCATTACCAAAGGTGACTCTTGGACTACTCCACTGTGCCAATATTTTATAATTAGAACCCCAGAAAAACCAAAACTCTAAAGCGAAGTTTCTCTGCCTAAGCTATTGGGACCCTTACTTTCTATGTCATAGACAGAGCTATTGGTAGTATTGAAATTTTAACCAAGACACTGTAAATATGGTAACCATATCATAAGGACTATACCATGAATAATTCATTCTCGCACTAAGTAGAAAATAAATTGTTCCAGGGAAATCTTGCATATTCCACAATTCATCACTTATTCAGTACAGATAGGTAAAATAGACACTCATATGCGAAACCATATTTTATTTTTATTCTATAGTATGGCCATAGAGTAAGCTAAATTAAAGGTGTATGGTAAACATGAATTATGATTTTGTGTCAAAAAATTTTATTTGAAGATGGCATGATCAAATTACTTGTTTTTAAAAACAATTGCATATTGGAGGTTCTTGCTGAAAATTATGGGTGCTCAGTTTAATTGGATTTTTAGATGGGAACCATGAGAAGTCAATACTCTAATTACTGTTCATGATATGGATAGCTTGCTTAGAATACTTTTAGCCAAATATTAAGGGAAGAGAAGCTATTAAAGATAATAAAATTATTCTGTTACATTTTTTTCTGAAATTCTGAGGAGACCTATATTACAACAGCAGCTAAACCAACATATTCATGTCAACTAAGAAAAATGAGAAAGTTTTATGAAATCTATAAATCTAATAAATACATTGTGCTTTGCAGATAACTGATCAGTAAATGCTGGATATTATCAATAATTAACTAATAGATTGATAAACTAGGCAAAATAATGCACAAGGAAAATGTTACATTTTATGAATTTTTCTTTCCAAAATTCTAATATTGCATTTGTGGTTATTGAAGCTACTTTCAGAAATAAACAGATAATGCATACAGAAAACCTACAAGTCTTTAAAAACGTGTCCATATTTTAATTCTTGGTAAAATGTTATCAAGTTCATAACAGCAATTAGATCTTTTATGGCTTTTTGGAAAGTGTTAGCTCTATCAAATTCTACAATCTATATGATATGTGCCATATTCATTAAAACAATTCTATAAAACATTCAATTAAGATGACTGAGAATTTATCACAGAGAAATTATAAAATGTTAAAGATGTTAAAGAACATTACATAATAAAAAATTATACTGAGATAGCAACAGAATCAACTTTGAGAAGTAAAAAGTTTAAGTCAAAGGAATAATAATGAAAAATAATAATATAACTGTTTCAGGTAGGAATGATGATCACTGCTGAAGAAATAAATATTCTAGATATACTAAACGGCTAACCTCTCAGACCTTAGGAAATACCTCCAGACTTGTTTCCCTGCTTCTACCTTTGCCCTTCTATTCTCCACATAGCCTAGCAGCTGTCACTTCTAAATCCTTTTACAATTAGGTCCTGGCCTTCCTAGGCTGGACACCTGCATGGGCTATAGTTTTCTGCAGAATAAAATGAAGGGCCTGAACTGAGTTGCCAGAACAAAGTGCCTCCTTTTTACCACATTAGATCTTTTTCTAAGTTGCAAAAGTAGGCTTGAAAAACCAGGAAGTTTCAATGTGGAAAAGTAATCATGGGAAATTAGAGCTTGTTTTAAACTCTAAATTAACCTTTTATCTATTTTAAAGCAGTTTTTGATTTTAGATGTTTCTTTTCTATGAACATTTCTTTTTACCTTGATTTAAAGGGGAGAAAAAAACCCTTTGATATTTGCATTTAAATGGGAACCTTTTCATCCTATTAACTGACTTTTGAATAAGATCTTTGTTAAAGACAAAGTTTTTTTTTAATTGTATAAGTAGGATCTATAAAATATTAAGGATATATTTAACACTATAAAATTTCTATGTCTATCTGAAATTCATATTTAACTGGACTTCCTTTATTTTTATTGCTAAATCTGGTGACCCTATAGGCAAATGAAGGGAATGACAATGACTAGGGGATCAAGAAAAAAGGAGGAAAATTTATGCTGCATGGTAGGGGTGCATCTTGTCATTTTCCCCTAAATGGCAACAAGTATCACCATTCCATGTAGTTTTTTTTTTTTTCCTAAGTAAACTGATGCCTTGAGTAAACATGTAAGATTTCCTTCTGCACCTGGGACATTTTAGTATATTATATTTGTCATGCTTTCCCCCAAATAGTAAATTCTTTGTTTTTTAAAAAGTTAAATTCCATGCATAGAAAAGTAATATATGAAGAAATCAGTATGACACTAATATTTTGAATTCATGTAGGACCACATATTGGTACAATTAAGCAGAGCTTCATTCCAGAGAGTATGTAATTATGTATCCTAAGGTGTCTGTTTTATGGTATATGGTCTTGTGGAGTGGCTATGATGCACATAGATGTTGAATTGACCTGGAAATAGTTCAGCTCTGTCTAACAGAGTCTGGCTTCTGAACAAAGTCTTCTACATATGTACTAATCCTTCTCAGAGTCATACAGTCAAGTGAAATTGAGTTTGCAGTTATAAGTAAGGGATTTATTTTTATATGTTTTCTTCATATTGAACCACATAATTTGACTTTTTCCTGAAATTAAATTTCCTCTAGGCTTCCTCTGAAACTCACCTCCAGTCATCTTTGGATAAATTTACCAAGACATTCATTTCTTCTTCTTGCATAAGTCGATAAGCTGCACTCACATGGTGATTCTCAAGGACAGATCGATCGTTATATAAAATGGCAACATCTGATCTAGGAATTAAAAACAAAATACCTAGTAGAGGATTTCTTTCAATTTCATGTATGAGCATCCAATAAAAAAAAAATACTCGTTACACAACATCTCATCAGTAAAAACCCTATAACTGAACACCTAAATTTGTGGAAGTACTTAGTTTCCTTTTTTTTTTTTTAACTGTATGACAATTTTTAAAATAAAATTTTATTTTTTAGAGTAATTTTAGGTTCACAACGAAATAGAACAGAAGGTACAGAGATTTGCCATATACTCCCTGGCCTTACACATGTATAACCTCCCCATTATCAACATTCTCCACTGCAGTGGTACATTTGTTATAATTGATGAATCTATATGGACACATCATTATTATCCAGAGTCCATAGTTTACATTAGGGCTCACTCTTAGCGTTCAATATTTTATAGGTTTGCACAAATGTATTATGACATATATCATCATTATAATATCATGTTGAGTATTTTCACCACCCTAGAAGTCATCTGTGCTCTGGTAATTCATCTCTCTCAAATTCTTAACCCATTGCAACCACTGATCTTATTGTCTCCATAGTTTTGCCTCTAAACAATGCCATATAGTTGGAATCATATAGTACATAGCCTTTTTATACTGCTTCTTTCACTTAGTAATACACATTTAAGTTTCTTCTATACCTTTCCATGCCTTGATAGCTCAATTGTTTTTGTACTGAATATTATTTCATTGCCTAGGTGAATCACCACTTATTTATCCATTCACCTACTGAAGTACATCTTGATTGCTTCCAAGTTTTGGTAATTATGAATAAAGCTGCTACAAATATCTGTGTGCATGTGTTTTGTAGACATAAGTTTTTTACTCCTTTAGGTAAAGACCAAGGAGCAAGATTGCTGGATCATATGGTAAGAGTATGTTTAGTATTCCAAAGTACCTATTCTATTTTCCATTCCCGTCAGTATTGTATAAGCAATCCTGTGGCTCCATTTCCTTGTCAGCATTTGGTGTCATTAGGGTTCCAGATTTTGGCTATCCTAATAGGTTATATCTATGTAATAGTGTTTCATCATTGTTTTAATTCGCATTCTTCTGATGGCATATGGTGAGGAGCATCTTTTCATATGCTTATTTGCCATCTGTATAACTTCTTTAACAAGGCCCATTTTTAAATCAGATTGTTTTATTATTGTTGAATTTTAGGAGTTCTTTGTATATTTTGAATAACAGTCCTTTATCAGATGTATCTTTTGTAAATATTTTCTCCTGGTCTGTGGCTTATCTTCTAATTCTTTCAATATTGTCTTTCACAGAGCATAAGTTTTTTATTTTTAATGAAGTCCAGCTTATCAAATTCTTTCATGAATTATGTCCTTGGTGTCGCATCTAAAAAATCATTGTCACACTCAAGGTCATCCACATTTTCTCCTATGTTATCTTCAAGGAGTTTTATAGTTTGATGAATTCATCAAGGAACACTTTTTTTCTCAACAATTTGTATTTTCATATCATTTGATCATCAAATAAGCTACTTTGAGTTTCACTGTTAAATTTGCTATTCTAGCATAAAGTATAAAATGTTTCAAGCATTTTCATCTCTGTATAGTAGAGATCTTGCATCTCCTTCCTTATCATCTTAGGTTGCCAGATCATTTCAAAAAAGTGAATTGGAAACTGAGCCACTATGTTCAATGCATTAAAATGGTGAACCCATACATATAAGTTGGCAAGTTGGAGGTAGGCATCAAAGAGAGCAAAAAAAAAAAAAAAAAGAGACATCAAAACCTGTTGTAACGTTGCTACTACAGGTAAGAGGACTTTCCTTAACACCAAGGTCCTCTCTCTTTTCTTTCCTCCTGGTAGATACACACTCTGTTGGCACTAAAACTGCCTCATTAAGACATTATTTTAGGCTTCTCAGTGTGTAGAGTCTTAGGTATAACCTAGAACTGACCCTTATCACTGAATATTTACCAAAGAGTAGGCAAGAATAAATAAAAAGCAACCTATTCGAGATCTGTATCTAATAGTCTGCCAGATAAACCAAGCTTTATTTTTAAACCAACATAGGGGAAGTGACCTATCAGGTAGTAGAGTAATTACTTACTCTTTTGTTCCAGCACTTCATAAAAGTAGAATAACATGTGTAGTTAGCTAATAGTACATACCTCTAAAATTCATTTTCTTTTAATAATTTCAGCTATGGCCTAAAAATTACATAGCCTATAATCATAGCTTAGTACAAAGAAAACTGAACTGGCAAAGCATATCTTTATTTAAGGAAGAATTAAATAGATCTTGCCTAAGTATCTCCAGAAGTTCACTGAGATCACAGGGAAAACTGTAATTTGTAAACCAAATATTATTTGTATGGCCTCAAATCTAGTCATTGCAGTTTTACCAGGATAATTCAAAAATATGTCTCTAAATATCACTGTCTTTACCTCTCAGCAACAAGAAAAAATGTTTTTGAACCAGGTTTAATTGTAGCAAAGCAAGTGTGATTTTGTCTCATAAATACAACAGGATGCTGAGAATACAGCATAGTTTTAATGTTTGAGATGGTCTTTGATTGCTAAGAAAAGAACAAGACTCTAAGCAGCATCCAGTATCCATGGTAACATGTAGCTCAGTATTTTCTTTTAACAAAGAAGGTATTACTTGCATTTATTTACACTTGCAAGGATTTCATGAATTGTAATGTCTATATCGAACTTAAATCTAGCTTTGTACTATGTTTTAAATTATTTTTCAGTCATTTTACATTATCCAGTACATAGTTTTCCATGTTAGGCAAACACTCTAAATCCAAGTAACAGTGAATAATATAAAATACAACAGAATCACTGACATCGGTGACATAAAACCTAATTCTCCTTGGACAAAATGTGAAGGTGATGGTGAGAGTTTTAAAAAGCACATTATTTTATTGCCTTTTGGTCACTACAACTTTTCATAAAATTTTCAAATTCTTATAAAATCAACCCATTAAATAATCAATTCCGGTAAATAGGTTATACAAAAATAAGTAAAATACCAGACCTTTGCTCTCTTGTATATAGTTTCTTAATATAAAAAAGGAAAAAAAAAGATTTCCTCCTCTTCCTCTTCCTGCTTTTCCAACTCCTCCTACTCTAGTCCAAAGTGTAAGTAAACTAGAACCCTTCACTCAGTTGTAAATGAATGGTAAAAGGAGAAATCTAGAAATGATGATCTAACACTGCTGCTGGAGAAGGCCAGCCCATTTTCTTCACTTTTCAAAGTAGAAAGAGCAAGGAGTATTATTCATTGGTAACAAATCACTTGCTCCCTTCTCCAACTCCCAAAACAGCTGTTCTATACAGCAGGGGTCCCCAAACCCCTGTACTGTGGACTGGTACCAGTCTGTGGCCTGTTAGGAATCTGGCCGCGCAGCAGGAGGTGAGTGGTGAGTGAGTGAGTGAGTGAGTGAGTGAGTGAGAAGAGCTTCATCTGTATTTGCAGCCCCTCCCCAGCTCTAGCATCACTGCTTTAAGAGCACCGGTTCCTGGTGCCAAAAATATTGGGGACCTCTACTATAACAGGGCCCAGTTCAGTAAAGAGCTATCTTTAATGAAAATCCCACTCATTATGGTCTTGGTAGATGTAGAAGAGCCTTTGATAAGCAAAAATAATCTGCACAGTCTACCTTTTCTTTGATTTTTTACACAAATAAAAATAAATCAATTCCCTATACTTTGCAAATGTGTAGGTTAATAACATTCCCTGCGGCACAACCAGAATTCAGGGACTTCCGTTTCCTGTCATGATCTGTCTATCTAGGGGATTGTGTGGACAGAGAATGCCTTCCCAATATTTCATTGTTTGAATTCCAACTCTTCTTTTGTCTCCATCAAGGGGACATGATTTCTAAAACCATCCATTTCAGGCTATAAAGGTCTGTCTCTGGCCATAGGAACAGTTGTGTAAGAAGACTGGATTGAAATTGAGTGTGCCTCTTCTCAGCCTCTCAGTTCTGCTACTGCCATCAGCTGACTGCATATAAACAGGTTATTTCACCTCTTGAGATTTTTGCTTTTTCTTCTTAGACCGTGAGGTTTAGACCAGAGGATTCATAATGTGGATCTCAGTCACTTTCGGGTCCTTTGAACCTCTAAAATGTCTAATATTTTAATAAAATGTGTCTATGCTCCTCACATCAAAATAACAACTTCTTATTAACTGGAAAATCAGTTTTTAGGAATCACTATTAAAGAAAATGTAAAACGTACATTTTAAGTTTTGTTTAAAAAAAATGTTTTTCCCTGTTTAATTTAATCACAGACCACACAAAAATCTGCACATGAATTTTATAGCAGTTCTGTTCATAAGTGCCAAAATTTAAAACAGCTATGATATCCTTCCATAGGTGAATAAGTAAATAAACTCTGGTACATCCAGACAACAAATGAAATATTATTCAGCAATGCAAAGAAATGAGCTATTAAGCCATGAAAAGATACATAGGGGCCTTAAATGCATACAGCTAATTGAAAGAAGCCAGTCTGAAAAGATTTTATATTGTTTGATTTCAACTATATGGCATTTCGGAAAAGGCAAAACTATATGACATTAACAAGATCAGTGGTTGCCACAGGTAAAGCGGAGAGATGGACGAAGGGAGGGAGGAATGAAAAGGTGAGGCACAGTGGAGTTTTAGGGCAGTGAAACTGTAGTGTGTGCTACTGTAATGGTGGATACTTGGCAGCATACATTTGTAAAACTCATACAATGTATAACATAAAGATTAAACCCTAATGGATACTGGGAATTTTAATTACCAATAATGTATCAATTATTTCATCATTTGTAACAAATTCACCACACCAGAGCAAGATGTTAACACTATGGGAAACTGTGAGGTGGAGAGAGGGGATATGGGAATTCTACTTTCTGTTTAATTTTTCTATAAACCTAAATCTGCTCAAAGATATAAAGTCTATTAATTTAAAAAAGTGAACATATAAAAAATAACTAGGTTTAGTTTTCCCATAGTAAGAATAGAGTCCTACAGTGGTTCGAGAGAGACATTAGTTTCACAACTTACACCTCTATTGTAAGCATCTCTGACTAGGAAAAGACAGAAATTTCAGGATCCATGTACATAAAATGAGTTGGATCATGATGGGTCCTAGACCAAATTCTGCCTCATAGGCACTGAGATCTCTGTGCAACAACCAAAACTTAGAGCACCTTCCTATTGATTGAATTGTGTTCTCTGAAAATTTATATGTTGAAATTCTAACCTCTAGTCCTTTAGAATGTGACTGTATTTGGAGATAAAGCCTTTAAAGAGGTAATTAAGGTTAAATGAGTCATAAGGCTGGGGCCCTATTCCAACATTACTGGTGTCCTTATAAGAAGAAGAGACACCAGGATGCTCAGGCACAGTGAGGACATTGCAAGAGAGCAGCCATCTGCAAGCTAAGGAGAGAGGTCTTGGAAGAAATCAAACCTGCTGACACTTTGATCTTAGACAACTATCTTGTCTCCAGGACTGTGAGAAAATTTCTGTTATTTAAACTGCCCAATCTGTGGTATTCTGTGATGGCAGCCCTAATAGACTAATACACTTCCTGTCTGGTATTTTGATTCTAATAACTGCCATTATCATCATCATTAAAAAAAAAAATCTCATTTTCCAATTATTTTAAATTTAGCACTTCAAGCTAACTTGGAAGTAAGATTTCTTTGATTTTTAGATTTTTTTTTTCAGAAGGGCAATTTTATTACTTTCAAACACATGATGATACCAAACAGATGCCTTAAACAATAAATTGCAAAATTTGTCTCAACGAATAAATGTCTGACTTGTGTGATAGTTTGGAGTATAAATTCTGGGCAGAGAAAAATTATCTTACACATTTTTATATTCTTTAAATTACTAAATATGCCACCAAATACATTCAAGATTCTTGATAAATAATGGTTGATTGATTTAGATGTTTTCAGCTTAAAGAATTTTGCTAAAATCCATTAAACCTATTCTTATTAGACATCTTCATTATTATCTTTAACTCCTCTCAAAATGAATCATATACAGAAAAATAAATTTCAAGTTTTAACTTAGAAAAGTTAATACTTTATCTAGCTTACCTTGTTTGAATGTGAAAGTTGTTTGTGGTTCCTGTATGCTCATAATCATGAATGGCAGCTGCAAAGACCATTGCTAAAATTTCCAGTTCAGTGAGCCAGTGCTAGTAAATTAAAGATTCCAACATGTTTAGAAAGCAGAGACCCTGGGTTTTTTTTGTCTTTCTACAAAAAAAGATTTTCAGTGCACCCAGTATAAATAATCTGATAAAATTGTTTTATTGATTTTATATATTTCTTCCTATTTCGCCTCCATTAATTGCACATAAAATGAATGCTTCATGATGTTAATGATTGTTTCATGGCTTGTAAGTTCAAAATCCAAATATTATAATTTTCTTTTTAATCAGAAAAGGAGTAATTGTCTATGATTTAAAACGTGAACGCTGACTGGATTTTGAATTCATAGCCTTACCAATTTGGGTTCCCATGAAGTCAATCACAGTTCGCAGTTTTTAACATATAGCTCACTCATTATTAAAATGCCTTTTAGCTCAACTTTTGTAGAAGAGCTTACCAAGAGAAGAATTTCCAAGAGTTGAAAATATTCACTTTGCTCATTAGAGAAACTGAACTTGGTTTTTATATTTAAAGGTTTAGAAGAGTTTCGAAGAATTTGCCAAATTTGCTCTTCATAACACATATATTCTATGACTTTGCAGTTAAACTTAATAACAATGAAAGATTAATTCCTTTCAGATAAGATCCAGACCACTTGCTTCACATGCATTGACTTTTTTGTTATCAATTGGGTTGTTTAGCAAAATTCCACTATTATTATAAAAGTCCATTTAGGTAATTCAATAGTTTATCGCTCACATTTTGCATAACACTTTTACTGCACTGTCCAATATGATAATCATGTGACTATTTAATTTGAAAATAAATAAAATTAAATTCCTCTTCATAGTCACAGTAGTCAATTGCTCAATATCACACGTGGATAACGGTTAGCATACAGAACAATGCAGATGCAAAGCATTATTATCATCACGGAAAGTTCTATTGGACAACACTACAAGTGGTATTTCATTGTAGAAATAGAGGACCAAAATGACACAAAGCTTGCTCTGAGTGGTCTTTTTCCATATACTTGAAACAATTAAAAACATTGCACAAAGCAACAGAAAAATATAACAGACTACATGAATACTTGATAAAAGGTTACAGAAAAGAGATGAAATGGAAGGGCAGATAGAATATCTATTTGGTGACAGTGAATCTTGGAATCAGGATGGTAGCTAAATGCAAGGCTGGAAACAGATTTGAAATAGATGCTATGGAAGTCTATATGAAAATTGAATTACCAGTAGTAAAACTGTGTTGGAGAGTCAAGTGAAGTGAGATTGAAAATAGAGTAGAGCATGGGAAAGACTTGATAGATGACTTTGATTAGAGATTTTGAATTTAGATTATATAAAAAGCAAGAGGGAGCTGATATAGGTCCATGAGTCAAAAAACAAAGGAGGTGACAACTGCTGAGTCCCCTAGTTGCCAAAGGCATGCTCTTATTAATCTTTGCTCTTTTCAAGCTATCATGATATTTGGTATATAATAGGAACTTAATATTTGTCTATTGAATTGCATTTCACCAGTTTTGCATTAGGAGGAGGGAGTAGGGAGTAGTGGGAAAATACTAGGAAATCAGAAAATCCTAGTTTTAAATCTTTATTAATTCTCAGGCAAATAAGTTATTTTCTTTCTCAGCCATAGTTCCCATGAAAATATAATTAGTGATCATTCCCTTGTGGCTTTTAAAAGAAGTTTATAGTTATAGTTTATGCACTGTGCCTATTACAGTCTTGTCATATAGTAAAATACAGAATAAGTGGGATTTTACTAAACTTATTACCTTAAATACATTGTTTAAGTCATTGAATCTGGAAAATAATAGCGAGCTAATGTATCTTTAGTGATTGCAATTTAAGAATAAATGTCTTACAGTTGGATGACTGAAGCAGAAATGATTTTCAAAACCAAAGAGAGTTGATATAACTAGCTATTCTGTGTTTATAGGTGCGTTTAATTCTGTGTTATTAAAAGAAAGAAAATGACCTTATTAAAGACCTATATTACTGGCTGAAGTGGGACTGAGCCTCCAATGTCCCCAGTGAGACTGTGGAATTAAGCACCATGAAATGAATAGCAAATGAAGTTAAACCAGTTTCTGTATCCTCAGAAACTCATTGTTTTATTAAAAAAAATTGTTTCTAGGAAAAAAAAAACACCTGTTTTCATAAGTTTTTCCTATCGGTTATATTAAAGATGTACAGATTTAACTGTGATGTTTTTAAAAAAGGAACATTCAATATCTACTACTATAATAAGGGATATGAAGTTGCAATTGTAAAAAAAGATAATTAGGAAATCAGAAATAGATTTTCATTATAGATTATCTCTTAAGTACTTAAAAGTATTATCTTCCTAGCTATCAAAATTGATTATACGAGCGTTTCCAGTTTTTAGTCTCATTAATCTCTCTTATAAATAGTACTTCCTCAATGAATCCTCTTATTTATTACCACACTATAGTCTTAATAATGAAGGTTACATTATAAAATCATTTGAGAGGAGAGACATATTGAAATTTTACACTTAATTAAAAAATACATCTATTGGGTATTAGAGAAAGAATTTTGGGGCTAATTTTTAGCTCCTTAGTTGCTGATTAATTTTATGCTAGTGTCAAATGAGAATTCTAACTCAGAAAATAGATGCTAAAATTCATGGATTTTGTAGGTGATTCATGAAAATAAGCAAAAGAGAATGAGCTGAATCATATCATTCTTCCCAACTAGAACAGCCATCAGGACACAACCTCAGTTTCTGATTCTTGATGAATAGAAGTAAAGGGTTAAAATGATGAGTCACGGACAATGCCAAAACTGTGCTCTATCTAAACTGTAGGTTGCATTTTGCCTAGAGAATGCTCAGGTGGACTTACTCTAAAATGAGTAGTCCTCAAATTATGTCACAGGAAGATATTGACTGTCAATAATACAATGATGATAGAAAGGAAGAAGAAACTAACATGAACTGAACATTTTAATTAAATGGTTTCATTTAATTTTTATAACCATCCTATATACCATTTACTAGATAAATATTTTTACTCTTATTTGGCAAATAACAAAGCTGAATCCGAAAGAAGTGAATCAACCTGTCAAAGGTCACGTAGCTCTCAATTGGCAGAGCAATAATTCAAACCAAACCTATCACACTCAAAAGTTTCTGTTTCTTCCATAGATCACAATATTTCTTTCATAGAGGACAATAGCATTCATTACTCAAGGGAGGCAAAATGCTGAATACCTTCTAAGCTTTCAAAAGCAGAATTTCTAGATAATTAACTGAGTATATTGATGGGTAGTAGTTATTAGAGTTTTGATTTAAGCCATCTGACGTAATTTTCATATCTGAATTATTCAGTGTGTGTGTGTGTGTGTGTGTGTGTGTGTGTGTGTGTGTGTGTGTGTGTTTGTGAGAGAGAGAGACAGACAGAGAGACAGAGAGAGAGAGAGAGAGAGAGATGCAGGCGTGTGGCTATCCAGGCAGGTGGAAATGCATGAATGTCTGCATGTGTGTGCCTGTGTGAAAACTATCTTGAGTGTCCGGATACATTTTCAGGTGTCTAATGATGTGGTTGTTTGGTGTCTTTGCTAAAGTGTGAGTGCAAATCAGCGTGTGAGTATAAAACGTCCTTTGGGTATATCGTTGCCCAGATAAGTGTGTGACTGTTTCATATATTTTTTTCCCAGAGAGACCTGTAAACATTGGGATTGGCCTGGTCTGAAAAAAAAAAAAATGTCAAAAGGAAGGGGAATCATCTCAGTCCTATTGTGAGAGTTTGCTGGGTGCCGGACGATAGCTGAACTCTTTGCAGGGAACACATCAAGAGGTGCGTAACTATCTGATCGTGACTTCATGGACCTGCAACCGATATAAACTAGGACTTCATCCATGCTTCAACCAAGGATCTTCATTTCAAACAGACCAAGAATTTAATCCACGAATTCTGCCCAAATGGAACACTGCCCACACCACAGCCTGGGATCATGCTGTTGGATCCCCTAGGCCCCTTTTGCCCTTCCACACCCACATTATCATCGAATCTATGACTCACATTTGCCCTTGAACAACTTACAAGGCTTTGCCTCACAGAATCAGAGCGTCCCGGATTATTCCTTCCGGAATCGGGATTGCTTCTGAGTGCAATCAGAGCAGAGTTGCAGCGAGAGGAAAAGACCCTGACCGGGCAGGAAGCTCCAACTGTTGGGAACTGCCTGGGTCCCAGGAGGCGTATTTTCACCCAACTCCAGGGGACAGGTGCCTTCCCAGTACCCTGTGTCCGCAATGAGAATGTTTATTTGTCCACAACACTCCCTTTCTTGGTCAACTCTTGAGAAAAGAAGCACGAGTTAGCATCACCGCTTTCTTTTCATGTCTCCATTTTGGGATACCCAATCCAGAAAGTAATAGGCTGTAACACCTCTGGCCTAGGAGAAGCTGCCTCCTCACCTTGAGTCAAACCTCTCCCTTTCGAGTTCATCTTTTCAAATCAGGGGACTCACGTGTTCCACATATTCCCATGAAACGTTCATGCACCCTGTCTGCCAAGTCATTTTCCACTTCCTCTCACCTTCCACCAATGTCCTTTGCTGCCATCTCTGTGACTCAACGAAAAACCATCCCCTCAAGTCCACACGACGTTCCAGTTTGTCCCCAGTTCTGTTGTCACCGGTAAGCCCGACTCGTCTTACTCTATTCACATATAATTGTTTTTTTTTTTAAAGACCAACACATTCGTATTATGATATTAACACTCATCTACCACTTTTTTCACCTAAAGGAAATATTTTTAAAATAACGTCCCCAAAACTGTAAATCTGGCAGTGTAACTTAGTTTTAACAAAAGATTCAACAAATTTTACCTTTCTTTTTACCATTTATCATAACATTTCTCATTACTTCCTTTACTTAAAATGTATTTTCCTGAACCTCAACAATACTGACAGTCTCCCATCAGATGATTGTTTTTTTGTAATGACCAAACTAAAGGATAACTAAAGAGCCCACCGATACTTTTTTTTGTTAAAGGATGAGTAAAATCAGAAACAAGTTTTTAAATCAAACTTGCTAAAGTAGAGTGAAATTACATTTACAATTGCTAAGTCACTGATCTCTCAAAAAGTGACTGTGCGATCTTTACTAACAACTTCAGCTTTCTAGGAGTTATGCCAGGCTGGGCCTGATTTCCCCAGCCTTTCAGGGAAGTTGGAATGGCTTGTTATAACCTGGAATGAATCTTCCTTGAAAGTCTGAGGATCAAGTCACATTGTGGATTTGAATTTCTCTATTTACTCATTAATATAGCATCCCTCAACTCTTGAACGTCACCTGCAGAAGAGAGGTTCTGAAGCTGAAACAGAAGACCTTTATTTGGCTCCCTTTACACTTGTGGCAAAAAAAAAAAAATGTTCTTAAAGCGGAAACATATTTTAAAAATCCTGGTTACCCCCTAGCTGAAATTGCATATGTCTTCACATTGTACTTCATAATTTAAGCAGATATTTTATTACACGGAGGTAGGCATTACTTTTTCATTCCATCTTGTTCTGAGGAAACTTAATCAGTTCAGTTTCCACTAAAGAGTAAACCTTAAATATTTCATTTTTCAGTTAACTTTATCAAAGCCTCAGTATTCAGAAAAAAAGAAATGCCAAATATTTGAAATGTAAACCACCTCACTATCAGTTTCAAGACCAAGGCCTTAGGGAAAAGCAAGCAGCTCTAACGGAGAAGATGTTAAAATGACTTTTTCAAGTGTAACAGCATTTGCAGCTGTCAAGGGGCACTTTGTTTTTCACACTAATTGTCACATACATTGAACCAAGTAAAAGCAAAGATTTCAAGAAAGTGCTGTGACAATGAAGCCTTTTAAAAGAAAGAGAAACAGGTATAAAGAAGGTTACATATAGTACTTTTGAAAAGCTTACACTCTTTTAAAGATGTATCTTAGAATGTTTGAGTTTCTACTTATTACTGGTAACCTGTACTTTCTCTCTTTAAATATCAAATCAGACTCCTGGAATGAATGGTGAGTAAATTCAACCAAGGACCAAGTCTAGCCATGACTACTTTTGATCTGGCACAATGGGCATATTTATACCTTAAGTCAGTGATGCTTACATATATATGTTAAAACAGGAAAATACAAGGTATGAGGTTAACAACACATATGGTTCAGCCTTGTAGAAGGTTACAAGTGACTCATGCTACTGTATCAATGAAGATTTTGGGGATTTCTGCCTCCCTTCAAATAAGACTTAACTCCAAAGCAAGTTATATTACTTTATGATTCTGTCATAAATGCATATATCTATTGAATTGGTGAGATTCCAAGAAAGTCCTTTATTAAAAACCCAGCTGAGCTCTCAGACATTAGCCATTATTAACTGCGAGCTATGTGAGTGAACCACCGTGCATGTCTTTTCTAGTGATGTCCTCAGATGTCTTCAGCCATTGCTGCTGCTAGCTGATCAAAATTATGGGAAAGACCTCAAGTGAGAACCTTCTAGTTGGGACCCTTCTAACCATAGACTCTTGAGAGATATTAACCAATTATTGCTTTAAGCCACTAAGTTTTGGAGTAGTTCATTATGGAGCAACAGATAATTGAGAATTGGGGCAGGAGTGGGATCTGAACCTAAGGCATTGATGGATCAGCATTATACTGGAGGCAAAGAAAGATGGAGAAGAATCGACAATTTCTTTAGCCACTACACGAGATACTATTGGATGAATCATAGCAAATGAATATGTTTAATAAATAATACACTATAATTCCTTGGGGGGAAATGAAATAATGATGAAAATTTGCTATATACAACAAAGTTAGAGAATTATGTACTTGTTCTGATTTTTAAAGATCTTCAAGACAACATATTGTGGTTCTAGGGGCTTTGCTTGGGACCAAGTTAGGGACATAGAATCTGGTGTAGAAAGATGTGTGTTGAGGATCTCTGGTCCCTAAAGAGTACGAGTTATATAGATCTGAGTGCTAGTGACCCCTGCCAATACAGAGGGTGTGACTTCTGAATACTAAACAGGTAGGCAATGTATATTTTGGAGTTTGGTGGAACTTTCTCTTTACTTCTACTTTATGACACTGCTTTAGTCTAGGTTGACACATGAGGAATCAAGAAGGTACTAAGATCTGGGGATCTCGCATGGACTATACCTCTTAGAACCTTCCTCAGTTTGGAACCTTCAAAAGAGTTGCTCCTCTCTTTTCACCTTCTGAGTTTCAGCCTAAACTCTGAGACATTACAGGAACTCCAGGCAGTCTCATAATCCCTATCATCTACTCACTGTTGTCCAAGACTTGCATTGCTGGGTCATTTATTTACCTATTGATCATCATTCAGATACAAAGAAAAGGAAGGAGAATTTGGAAAAATTCACATGAATAATTTCCCAAATTCCTAGTAGGATCTGATTGTGATTAGCAATATAAGTAAAAGAGAAAAGGTTGCTAAGGTCAGCTAGATAGAACATGATGGGAAAAGTACAATAACTAACTTTCATTCCAAAGACTTTTTTCTTTAGGACACATTTTTTTCCTTAGTTGATTCCTACAGGAAGGGAATTTACAAACAAAAATATTCTATAGCTCAAATTTTGGAAAACTTATAGTATATTTGCACTTGCCTCTGGGTATTTTCCCCTACACTGGGTTAAAGTACTTTTTGAAATATATATATAATGAATAACTCATTAACCCTTAAAAATCCAAAAGATTATTACTTATAATACTGCTGTGGGCATTAAAGAGACAATGAGAACTTAGGGGAATAGAATTTGATGTTCTAAATTAACAAACTTTGGTTACAAAGACTTTCTTACCATGATACCTGTATGAAGCATTATGTAATGCACAGTTTGAGTGACATCAGCTGCATGAATCAGATTGTGATAAGGATTTTTGTACTTGCTGTAACCAACTTCTAAAGCTTCTGCAAAGGCAATTAGGCAAGAAACAGGAATCTGTGGAAAGTAATAATTATGATTATATTTTACCAAAAGAGTAACTCCAAATTAACATGAACACAACAATTTTTGGGACACATTAGTGAATCAGATGTGGGCTGTAGTTTCTTGAAGTTAAATGTGGACTTTTCTGAAAAATCATATTATCAACCTGTTAGCTGTCAATCCTAAAAAGAATTATAACCCCCCAAGTGTTTAACAAAGGTAGATGAAGTAACAGTCAAACTGTCATCTTTAAATGGTTATATCTTCCAGAGTCAAGTAAGAAGTCCAGCTCTTAAAAGGGTAAAATTTCCCAATTAGAACTGACGAAGTCTAGTTTTTCTATCTATAATACAAGGGGTTAAAATAAATGACCTTCTAGTACCTTCCACTTCTAAAAATATTATGATTCCATAGGTAATGATGAAAGGTACAGGCTGCATGCAGAGTGCTCAATCTGGATTAAATCTTTTGCCTAGATGGCTCTAAATGAAGTTAATTAGAAACTCATTTTAGTTTAAGAAAAACTGCCAATAAAGGCATATTTTATGGTTTAGGAACACAGAAGATCATATTTCTTTAAAACATAGCTTTCAATCTCTACATGACTATTCTGTGAGTAATTCAAGGGGGATGTTGGTATTTCATTGGAATGAGGTTATAATGCCCTTATGATATCTAAGTGGATATATATATATATATATATATATACACACATATATATATGTATATATATAATCAGTGGGTTATGGAGGATGTGGCTATATCATGCAGTGTCAATGAGAAACATAAAATACATTGATTAATGACTCAATGTTCTGCATTTTCATTGCTATTCAGATAACTAATTCTAAGAGCATTTCATTTTTGTTCCATGTTTCTGACCTTGAAACGGTTGATAAGATCATATCTGGTAAATAGTTCATAAATCATAAACTTCAGACTATGTTCTCCACTTGCTTTATTTAAGGCAAATACATCAAAAGACCATTTATCAACATCCTGTAAAAAAAAAGAATAAATACTTTAGGTGGCAAATTTGTATAGTTCTGTTTCTATGAAAACTTCTTGGAAAGATCCAGTATTGTACATCCAACAGGTCAGATTTCAATTCAGCATACTGAACTATATTTTTATCAGTGTCTGATATGACAAGGCCACTCAGTGTCTATGGGTCTGCAAAAGTGAAGCCATAATGCTTAATGAAATGCTAAGATGTTCCCCTTAATTCCAAGTTTATTAAACTTGATGTAATAAGCCTGATAACACGTTAAAGCTGCCCTTAACCTAAATCTCTGTCCAAATTCATGCCATAAATAATTTTCTTAGAGTGGGCCTCATTTTAAGGTGGAATTACAGGTTCTGTAGGTGATGTCACCTGCTACATTGCTTGAAATTCCATTCACCTTAGGGTTTAGCAATTTGGTTTTAATCTTTGCTATTTTATGTCTTCTTTTATGATGCAAATACCCTAGAGAGAGCATATACTACCTTATTAGTCACTCTAACCTTGGCTGATTCATTTATACTTTCTTCCAGGGGCAGATGTTAAGATAAAGGAAGTGAGTCTTTTGATTGAGGAGGAGGATGGTAATTTTGGCTTCAGGCAATTCCCTTAGGGAGGTAGTCAGGCCTGTAGGCAAAGAGGTACTCAAAGAAAGTGCCCCTTAACTAAGGAAAAGAGTGCAGTGAACAGGTAAATCAAACCACTCTAGCTACCACATGATTTTGCTGAAGGTTAATTCCAGGGCATATTTTATGGTTTAAAACTTGCAGAGTTTATAAAATGGACTTGCAACAAGTGACATCAGTCCTATACACTAGGGAGATATTAATGTGAAGTTTGAGCTCTAACACTAAATAAATCACTGAAATTAAAAAGAAAAATCTAAACAAATACAACAGAGTCAATGCTAACAATTATTAGAAACTATTAGCAAAGAAGGTCTGATTACACACACACACAGCAGGTTTTGTATTAAATTGTAAGTGGATAACCTCCAATCTACGCATTAATTTTGAATTTGAGCAGGCATTGTTTAGAATTTCATTCAGTTAACACTTTTTAATGAAGGCCGACTGTGCTGTAACATGCTGAAACTAAAATAAAAATATAATAAAAGCATTCAAATAATCTCTTGTCAAAAGATTTTTTTTTGAAAAATAGTAATAATAATTTCGAATGGTCTTTTTAATCACTTGGAAACACCAATGGAATATTTTTGGAATTGCTTGTGTACCTTTGTTAAATTCCTTGCACTTGACCCTAATTTGATCCCAAAACACTTGCCTCATCTGTTTGTCAATGTAAAAATCTCCAAAAGTTCTGTTAGAAGGCATTTTACCATCAGTAGAGCTCAAAGGAGGCCAACAAATCTTTTATCAAATTCCAAAGCTAACACAGAAGAATTAGTTCAGACTGTTACAGGCCTGCTATTTACATTTCCCACTAGGCATTTCTCACTGGGTGAAAGGTTACTTCTCTATTTCTTGGCGATTTTTATCAACAGCAGTGATTACATTTGTAAACTAATGCAGATGCTTGCTTGGCTTTTACCTTGTCAAATTGAGAACAAAGAAGACAAGGAGGTATCTCAGGATATGAGAATTATTTAACTAAAAATATTCTTTATTTAGTGATAGTTTCTCCTTCAGTTTATTTCATATGTTTTTTTCTATACTTTATTTTAGAAAACTATTTACATTCTCTCATACCTAAATATTTTGTTAGCTGGTTTCTAAGCAAAGGTTCTTCAAACAAACAAACAAACAAACAAAATTCTAAACAATGCCTGCTCAAATTCTTGCCCATAGTTGAGGAAATAATGAGGAAATCAAAATCTCTCGAGAGCTGAGAAGTAATTATATCCTATAATGTTATATTTCAGTTATATACTTGTTATTATAGCTTTAGAAACATACATGTTAAAAAGCATCCAAGAAAAACAAATGACCTTTTTAAATTAATAAAATAAAAATCTAATCTACAGCAGAGGAAAAACAAATGCAAAAGGGATGCTTAAAAGGAAATTAAAGGACAAAAGAAAGCAATACAAATTTAAGTTAGTAAAGTAGTTTAATACATCAGAAATAGGCAACCTGGGATATTCTGTTGTCAGCATCCTTTAAATTCTTGTTTAATACAGGAAAACAACCATGAAACTGTTAGAGAAGACAAGGTTGAATTTCCCCCACCCAAATTGAAGGGTAGAAAGAAATAAGAAATGTTTAATGATGAACCTACAAAATGCCTCTGTAGAAATAATGGCTAGGAACAGCGCGCGCACACACACACACACACACACACACACACACACACACGATGGAGACAAATAAGGGAGTCAAAAATTATCACCACTTAAGAGTTTCGACCCTAGTTATTTCTAACACATTTAATGCTTTAATACTGCAATTGGGCCTCAGACAAGGGCAGCCATAGGAAAAACAGAAAAAAGAGAGAGATTTTTGTTTGTTTTCTTTCTTAATTTTAGATTAATTTATATATTTCCTCAGACCTAAAATTCTAAACAATTTTCTTCTATATAAGTTTTGTTCTTTAACAATATTTTTCTAAAACATTTTTTATAATGCATTAAAAATTTCCATAATATATACAAAATAAAATATGTATATTCTGACAAGTCTTGGTGCTGTCGTAAAATTAAATTCAAAATTCATGTATATAAAGCATAAAGAATAAAAATGCACACGTGTGTGCACACATACCTATGCATTGATATAGTTTGTTGGTGTAAATCAATTTTCTTTTAAGTCTACAATGAACCATGATTTGCAACACATGACATTTTGTAAAATGGTTAAAATATTTTTTGCATACCTATACTTAAGCTGCAGCAAAGACCTAATCTCATTTTCTCCCAGCCATTTTAAGAAGATTTCAAAAAATGACTTTGAAAAACCAAAAATAATTGAAATTATTTTACCTTTAATGTTATTATGACAGCCTCTGGATATGTCAAACCAACCATGTGATAGGTCTTTCTGTACATCCTAAAAAAGAAAAAAGTGTATATAAATACACACACACACACACACACATATATATGTGTATTTGATAGGCCTGAGTGAGTGGATATGGTTTGGATCAAGACAATTTACTCAAAATTTTCAACTATTTCTTAAATATAAGGGAAAAGATTACTTTGACTTGTTTAACTTTTTATCATTAGTTACAGGTTTTCACTGAGGTAACAATGATAAGTATGGTCACCATTTATTAAGCATTTACAATGTGACAGATGCTAATATTATTTTGTTTACTCATAACACTCTATAAAGTCAATGTGGTTTTAGTTTCTGCATAAAGATATCTTTCACCTAACTTCATCTTATTAAAAGGGACTGCCCTTTGTATGTGCAACACTTTCTAGAATGTCATCATATCAATGACAGCAGAATATTCTTGTTTTGTGTTTATTCATGCTCCAAAATTTTCGATCTGGAAATTGAATATTCCTGGAAGTTGAATAAAATATTTCTTTTATAGATTTTTTTTTCATAAAATGGAAATTTTAGGAGAAAATACATAGCAGCATCAAAATTTACACAGTTTTTTTATTTTAAGAATATTAGAGGAGACGATATTGAGAAAAAATGCTTAACTTTGTTCAAATTGTCATTTAATATTATTTATGAAAGATTATACAGAAAGAACAAAGTTATTTTGATTTTTATAATAGCACCAATAAGAAAAATATTTTTATTAATCAGTAATTTGTTGAACTTTTCCATTTTCCAATAGACAACCAAGATGCTCATAAAAAACCAAATATAAGAAATCTCCCCATGGATTGATATGAGAATAGAATCAGTGTGATACCCTAATGTGTAGAAATAGCAATATGCTTCTATTCTATGCATGGTTCCGCCACGAAGTCCTGGAAACTAAGAATTTAACTGATTATTAATCACGTGTATTAAATTTTATATTATTAGTACACAAGCAAGCTGCATTCCTAGATTATGTTACTGTAACTTCTTCCCTCAAAGTGCCTGGACAAAACATAATTTAATAATTATATCATTAATTTATATTGCGGTTAAATATAAGAAATAGTCATTTGGAAAATATTCTGCATCGTCTGTAAAACCACTATGGGAGATATTAACTTTTTGATTTTTGTATATTACATTAAAAAATCCATGACATTACTGAAATTCTATGTAAAAGCTTTCTTTCTTTTTTTTTAAGATAATAAAAGCTAAGTAATTCATCATGTTTTCTTTTGAATTTTGACTCCCTTGGAATCTCAAAATTAAAATATTGTTTATGTATATCTCTAGCCTCGTCTTTATTGATAAAGTATCTCCCCATTTTATTATAGATATTGTTACTCTATTTCTATGTTTCCATTTTATGTTTATTTTTAATAACTTTAAGTTTTAGATGTTGGAGATCAGTTATCACAACAATTATCTTTATACTCTATTGGAAAATTTCAGAACAAATAAAAATACTCATACAAATTATTCTATTGAGATAGGAATAAGTATTCTAATCTCTCAAGGCAAGGAAACTACTAACCACACTATAAGACTCAGCAACTAATTACTGTCAATAATGATATTTTTTGAAACAGTCTTTTCTATCAATTTTTCTAGTCATTATTACTAAAAAATGGAGGTAGAGAGGAAATGGAAGGGTGATAGACAAGGGAAAAAGGTCAATATAAAAATTAATCATGAATAAAAAAGGTTTTTAATTAAGTAATATTAAATCAATTTTACTTCATGGCACAGAAAGGCCATATGACATAGCAAAGAAAACACATGCTTTGAATAACAAGTTAGCCACTCACTAGCTGTGTATGACCTTTGGAAAGCTATTTAATGTCAAGCTATTTCTGTAAAATGAGGATAATTATAAGCTTTTTGTGAAGAGTACATGCCATAAATGCTTAGCATAACATAATAAATATTCAATACAAGAAATTCATTAGTATTATTATTATTACTATTCTCATTCCTCTGCAGGCAACATCATTGGCTCCAATTCTTAAATTCTTCAGAGTTCTCTGGGCTCAGTGGGGACTCCGGTGCTATTGAGTTTCTTAGAGTTGGAGTAGGTTAAGAAATAAATATCAGTATATGTTTTCATTAAATAGAATGTAAAGGAAGACAAAGAAGAGGATTCCTCTTCCAAAGAGAAAAATTTTCCTAGTATCATTTTCTAACTCTATGATTGGAAATAAAATATTAGGATGAAAAATTAGAAATAGAAAATTACAATGACACATACTGGAATCAGAACAAAGTGTGAGAGAAAATTAATACAGTTGCCTCACACTTGAGTAAACAGTCGATATATTACAAGTTACCTAAAGAGAATAATGAATTTCCTGGGCTCTCATAGGTGGTAAAAGTCCAGCTGGAAATATGGTGGATTATTTTTGGAAGTTTTTACTATAGTTACAAAACATAATTCAAAACTTAAAACAAACAAACAAATAAACAAACCTCTCTTATGCCAGACACTGTGCTAGGCAACAAACTAGTATAGAACAACAAAAATATAGTTGCTATTTTCTTGGGGCTTAGTCAATGGTGAAGAGGGACAATGAATAAGAAACAATATATGATTACAAACAGTGGTAAGTGCTATGAGGTAAACACTGGTTGGGGTAGCAAAAGTGTTAAACTGTATATAGAATGATCTGGGAAGGCTTCTGGAAACGTAACAAGGGCTAGCCAGGGTAAAGCGTGGGGAAAATCATTTTTGATATAGAGAATAGTAAGATTAAGGGCCCTAAGGGAAGAAAGAGTTTAGAGATCTTCATGGGGTTGAAATCAGACTGGTATATTCAGTCAAGGATAAAGGCAACATTAGATGAGTCTGGAGACTTTGCAGGGGTCCTAATCCTGCAAAGCCATGATACAGAAGTTGCCTTTGATACCGAGTGAAATGGAAACCATCAGATGATTTTAAACTTCAGAGTGACAGGAGCTAATTTATATTTTAAAACATGACTTGTTTAGAGGGGGCAAGTGAAAAAGAGGGGAATCCAGCTAGAAAGTTATTGTCATACTTCTGATGGCAGGTAATGAAGGCTTAGATTGGAGTTGTATGAGTAGAAATGAGAAAGTGAGCAGATCCAGAATACATTTAGATTAAACAAATTGTCAGGACTTGATGAGGTGACGAATCTTGTAGGGGATGCTTGAGAGAAAGTTCAAGAAGACTTTCTAACTTTCAAGATTAAAGATGATTATTTTTGAAAACTCAAGATAAACGTATTGCACTACTTTTATGCACTTACTAATAGGGACTCAAAGGTAATAGAAAATATTTCTTTTCCATGTGTTTGTAGCACACTTTCTTTAAGACTGCTTACTTAGTTACCTTAAGTATGTTTGATATTTCTATAGTCTATTAAATACTTTGGGTAGAACATGAAAAAAAATTATCATGTCAATATATGTAACAGAATTCTTTTTAATCTTCTACTGGATGGAAATGGAAATTTAGTTGGTTTACTTCCACGTTTGTATTTCTTTTTAGTTTGCCACGTTCTGCAATATTTCTTAAACAAAAAAGACAAAATATATATTCCTTCAGTAAATCAAACATACTCTCTATCTGTGATTCATTGACTTCCTGAACTACTATTCAGATATTTTCAATTTGATGTTATGAAAAATCAGTAACTATCACATACTTGCCTAATTTGTTTTTTAAAATAGTAATATGTTATAGAAATTCTTTCTCTCTAGCCCTGCCTCTCTGTTTCAGACTTCTAGTCCCATCTGGCAGAGTTGGGACCAGTTTATGCACTAAGGGAGTAGGGGAGGGTGTCATCTCATGAAACTAATCAAATTGCTTGTTATGAGAATTCCTTTATCAAATCCAATTAGATATGATTAAGCAATATTGTAAATAATTTGAATACTCATTGAGTAGTTGTTATTTTAGGTTATACACTCACAAGCCAGGATCATAGAGGCTTTATGTATGGTGGTTATAATACACCTTTAAATCACATTGAATACTTCTTGCGATGCATTCTCATTTGCGTTTTCAGAAACCCAAGCATGTTTCCCATTCTTCCCTTAGAAGAGGAAAATTAAAGTTTATAGTGTTCATTAGAGGTAATGACTAAAGATGTCAGAAAATTAAAAACAATGATGTGGCCTCCATTAAATTTAATTTTATTAGTTTAAAAATGTTAAAATAATATTTTTATGTATAATTTAATATAATATAACTGTTTTTTAATCTAAGGAAATTCTAATAGTTTTCAACATTATCAGATGTAACATTTTTATTTTAAGTCTTTTTGTAGTTTTAGTTCTGGAATATCTTGTTTTGTAGACAGAAAAATAATCTGTGTTCTTAAGGGCTAAAAGAATATAAAATTGGGTCATATTAACATGTATTTCACATTAGAAACTCTGGCGATTTGATTAAGTGGTTCTAGGAACCATCAAGTATCCCTTCCTTCAGTGACAGAAATGTAAAAAATCTCTTTAAACATGGATATGAGAGAGTTTTTCTCTCATATTGGGAAGAGAATGGTCTTTTTTCTTTAGTGCAGAAAAAAGTCTGCTTGATTTTGGTATGTAGTGTAGAATTTATTTTATGAGGTGTTACATTTCATTCAGGTAAAATTAGTTGTGTAACATTTGAACGTGTTATAATTGTTTTTAAACAGTTATTCACAAAAATTCTAGATCAATAGTCATTCAAACGCCCAAAGCCTCTCCTTTTAGTCTTTAGGTCAATTTAAAAGAAAATGACTCTTATTTCCAGGATAAGACATTCTTATTATAGGTAACTTAATCATAAAGCCCTAAATCTTTTCATTCTAGGTAATTCTACTTATAACTGCACTTTTCCTCAATAAGTAAAATACAGGATTCTCATTACTTTGAGATAGTAAGTATATCTTCTGCCTTTAAAATTTTATTGTCTTGAGATACCAGCAATTTCACTTACCTTTCCACAAAAATTCCAGCTTGAACAGCATGTACAATGCTCCGAAATTTTGGTTTTTCCTCAGATTTCTTTTTTATCATCCCCATTTTCCGTGTGAAGGTAGAAGCCAACCAGTCCCGAACTTCCAATGGGACTGCATCCGACTGAATGTCCCCAAGCTCATCGTCGGTATCTAGCAGTCTTCTACAAAAATTTATACCAATTAAACTTTAGGAAAAAGTGAAGAAAACTAATAACAACAAAACAAGCATTGCAATAGGGTTTAAAATATAGAAAATCACTCTTTGATTATCTCTCAATATGACTATCTAAAAAAAAGGAAAATGATTGGGTTAACATTGAGAGAACTCTGAATTTCTCAAATTGATTATCTTCTAAAGGTAAGGACTAACGTATTTGAGCATTTTCAGATTTGCAAACATTTAAGTACAATGATTATCAGTCCGTTGATATCAATTTTTAATATTATTAGTATACTATTCTAATAATGAATAAAACTAAGACAAAATAGTGGCAAGAGGTCATAAACAGATGTTTGCTATTAAAGGAAGCATCTGGAATGAAAAGAAAAAAATGGGGGTTGAAGCCATCAAAATTGTCTTATAGTTAATAATCTTGTGTATATATAGTACGGATATCACATGCTATTTGAATAAAGCCTTGGAGTTTATAAAAGTCATTCAGATGTGCTATTTCATTTGATTGGTATCTCTAAATTTTAGGAAAATAATAACTTAAGTACTCTAAAAGATATTCATTCTGATAGCAACATCATAGATAAAGTAAAAAAAATAAAGATAGAAACAAATGGATTACTTTGAAAACTCATTTTAGGTGGCCAAGCCAGTGTACTTGGAAGAGAAACACCTCCAGGTAAGCGTAAACGCTGCCTTGAGGATGGAGATATAATGGGGTTAGAACTGCTGGCTGAGAAAATCAACTGAGTGAGGAAGTGAACAGGAACTGAAATCACTGTGCTACCGCTCTCCCATGTAGGCTCCAGATAGATAACATTGACTGCACTGACGAGCAGTAACACTAGCCATGAAAGCTGGTCGGCTCCAGCGACTCAGAACTTCCTGAAGGTCTAAACCGGCAAGACAGTGTGAAAGGCTCCCCACAAAATTAAAAAAAAAAAAAAAATCGGCTTTCAGAGCAATTGGACTTTGCCTCCAGGAAGAAAGAACACAGGCCGGCTCTGCCTGTCACTTGACTTGGTTATTTCCTAGTCAGTGCACCAATTTAATAACTTAGAGCTATTTTTGGCACACTTTAGATTGGACTTTTGAGTTCCATTCTCTTTGGTAAAGCTCTTTGTACAGTGTGAAGCCTAAAGATCATGAGTCCAAGGAAGGAAGGAACCCAGAGATGACAGAATGTACAAAAGCCTCCAGAACAAGTCACACACCATCTTGAAAAGGCAGAGACCAAGGAAGTGACAAAAAAGAAGGAAGCCCACTCAAAGCACCCAAAACTACCAAAAAAGACTCAAAAGATAATATCACCTCTTCTTTGTGTTATTTTCTATAAACCTTCAGAGATCCATATTTGTCAATATTTATTTCTCATGATATTAAATAATCATGAATGCATTTATGATATATCTTATGAAAAAATATACACAACTTAAGTGCTAGAGCTACAAACCTACATGTATATCATATGAAGATAAAAAAGATTCACACAGTTAGAAGTTAATACTGGTTAATACTTACTCTACATCATATTTATCTTTCTTACGTTTGGATGATTTTGGTTTACCCTTAATACACTGACATAGTACTTTAAAGCAAAACAATTTTTTTCTCCTTTTCTTCATTTTAAATTGAATTTCTTAGCCAATTGCATGCAGCAAGACACTAAACTACATGGTTTGAAAATTTCAGGGCTTACATCATTTCTATTATTATTGATTATGCCATTTCAATTATTGCTTATGCAGTGATCAAATAAAACCACAGAGCAGAACAAGTGGAATGTGAATCATTGTGGTGTAATACTGTGATGTCACCATGCTCCAAGAATTCCACTGCTATCTTGTTTTATCAACTACTCAAAGTAGAATGATAGGCACATAATAACGGTTGCCAATTGCTCCTTTGATGTTGATAATTTTGTGACTATATGTCTTAAATTCACAAATTGTTTACAAGATGTAATCAAACATGACAAAATCAGCACATGAAAACGAGAGGTCACATAGAGAAGTGGTACTCAGGATTCAGGCATTCCTAAATTATGAGGCATGATGTCATTTACTGAGAAGGAAAGAGCATATAATCTCAGGGAGTAAGAGTGATGTGGGTTAATTAGTGGATATAGGAACAAAGGAAGACTGTAAAGAGAAAAGCATGAAATATGCTGTTATATAACCAAAAAAGCAAATCTTGAAAAGCAACAAATACCTCTGTGATGGCTAATTTTATGCATAAACATGGCTAGGTTATAGTGTTCAATAGTTTGGTCAAACAGTAGTCTAGATATTTATATATATACATATATATATATATAGACAGAGAGAGAGAGAGAGAGAGCGCTTAAGATGGGTAAAGGGCATATGATTTTAATCCAGACACTGTCCTCTATGAGTTTCTAGTTAGATTGGACAGGTGGTGTGTGCACAAATATTATGTTACATGACGAGAGAGAGAGAGAGAGAGAGAGAGAGAGAGAGAGAAATATCACACACGGACATATATATAATATAGAGGCTGAGGATATATACAGATATACAAAGAAAGAATATTTTCATTGTTCATGAACACTATGAGTGAAGTAACTACCAACATGGGTTATAATTAAGATAGAAGATAAAAGCACAACTCTCTATTATATTAATATTCACTTAATAAAGAATATCAATCCTGTTCCAGTTTTAAATTATAAACATCCCATTTGCAATAGACTAAAATGCCTTTTTAGCCATTATGATTCTCAATACCATACTCTCTTTTCATGGCTTAATAGCTCATTTCTTTTTATCACTGATTAATATTCTATTGTATGGATATACCATGGTTTTTTATACATTCTACTTTTGAAGGACATCTGGGTTGCTTCCAAATTTTGGCAATAATGAATAACGCTGTTATAAATATTTGTGTGCAGTTTTCAAGGAGCATAATGGTTGGATCATATGGTAAGTGTGTGTTTAGTTTTTAAAGAAACTTCCAAACTGTCTCCCAAAGTGGCTGAATCATTTTGTATTCCCACCAGCAATGAATGAGAGAGAGGCCAAGCCAGCGTCATCTCTCCTGGCCTGCAGCAGTAACATTTTTACTGGTCTCAGCTCTTGTCCCGACCCCCTTCAGTCTCTTCTTCCCTCTGCAGCTAGTATACCTCTTTTAAAGTATAAATCAGATCATGTTAGTACCTAATTTACGAAGTCCTGCATAGCTCAACACAAACTTAGTTTCCACTCTCATCTCTGAACCAATTTCCCCTTACTCATTTTGTTCCAGCAACACTGGCCTCCTTGCTGCGCACAAACCTGTCAAGCTTGCTTCTGCTTCAGGGGCTTTGTGCTTGCGGTTCCTGCTGCTTAGAATTTCTTGTTCATGATATTTGTAGGGATCATTTCCTCACTGCATTCAGGTAGAAAGGGCTTCCCTGATCCCCTAATCAAATAGTAAACATCCTTATCCAGTCTTTTTATCCTGCTATAGACTTCTAAGCACTGACCACTACTTAATGTTACGCCATATGCTTATTGGTTTGTTTATTCATTTTATGTTTTATCCACTAGATTGTAAAGACCTTGAGAAAAGACAACTGGACAGTTTTTGTGCACTGTTATGTCACCAGTGTCTACAACAGTCATCTCTCCATTGCCTTTAGGTTAACATGCCCTTGAACAATCCCTTTACAATTTTTGAAGCAAATTATGGGGAAATGTCTATTTGGCATGGAAAAGACATTAAACACTTTGATAGCATTTTAGCATAGAAATAAAGGCACAGTAAAGAAAAAATTTTAAAGTTTATGCAGTGTTGATATGTCTTTAGCTAAGGATTTCAGTATTTCTGTTAAATACTTGTATTATGCTTGTATATCAAGTAGAGTATGATTAGAAATTTCTAATGATGGCAAAAATAAGTTGTAGCAGACTCGTTAATATAATTATTCCAGTTTAGAATAAAGAAAGTTAAAAGACAAGTGGATAAAACCCAAATTTAAACAAATTTTAAAATAAACTAACACATCTAATGGTACATATTTGTCTTCCATTTCTCTCTCTTCTTCCTT